AATTCTTAACTGAATTGCCAAAAGAGTTTTGTGTAATTATGTGACTTACTTTGGAGAAGTTGGACCTTCACAATGTCTCCTTTTCTAGTGTGGCACCAGGTCTGATATTTTTATTATTTGGTTAATGAGGTTTCAACAGTTGTATTAGGGGATTATTTTAAAATTCTACATTTGGCTTTTATTTGGCAATTTGTATCATATAAGAAACAAATAACTTTTGTTATCTTAGTACAAATGTCTTCCTTAGGTCATTTATTCAGACAGGTGTTTGAGTTTCTGACATGTGTCAAACCTGCTTTAAAATGAATAGAGTAGTAGTCAAATATAGAATCTGAAATGGGGGGCGGGTAATAGTCCCACTGTGTTCTGTAAAGATGAGCCTAGATGCTAAAGAGCTTTTGTTTCTGTTTATCAGTTTGTACCATATTATGAGTTAAAACTTATATTTAAATATAACTCATCTCTTTGGGGGTTTGCTTCCAGGATTCCTGTCAAATACCAAAATATGAGAATGCTCAAATCCTTATATCAAATAGTGTTTTATCAATTATAAAGTATCTGCATTTAACCCATGCATATTCTCTTGCATACCTCATATCACGTCTAGATCACTTATAATAGCTAACGCAGTACAAATGTTATATAAATAGTTGTTATGCTATGCTGTATTGTTTAATGAATAATGATTCAAAGTCTGTACATGTTCAGTACAGATCCAATTTTTTTCAAGTATTTTTGATGCTATTGTTGTAATTAGCAATAGTAATTTTAGCAATGATAGGTAAGCCATGTTAATAATAGCTAGAGGGTTTTGTAACCATGGGATACAGAAAATGTGTAGCTGTATATCTAACATTTGATTTGTAGATAAACAGAAAAATGTATCAGTAGGCTCAGTGAGTTTTCTTGCCTGACAAGTTTCATGGATGTCAGAAATAATCACAAGTTTGCTTAGTAGACTTGGAATCTGACAGGGGAGTCAACTGAGTGCTTTCCAGTAGGAATATGGCTACCCTAGCAGTTGACTCAAGGCCAGTGATTCCCATTTGTGTAATAGATGCCCAGCAAATATTTGTTAGGTGATTAATAACCTGTGAGAAGTTTTGGATAGGTTTTAAAATTGGTACATTACTTGACAATAGTTTAAGAAATAAAATTTAGTTCTGTGAAGTATTGTAGCTCAAGGTTAAAGTAGGCTACTTTCTTGAATCTAGGGGATGAACTTTTGCTTTTATTTACTTATTTACTTATTTATTTCTTGCACTACTGGGGATTAAATCCAGTGTTTCATGCATGCTAGGTAACTTTACTCTGCCACTGAGCTACATCCCTAGTCCTGTTTCTGGGGATTGCACAAAGAAGATTCTGTGTAATTGCTCTCTGAATTTTAGTTCTGTACCATGAGCATAAATTAACTAATGACATACTGAATTTGATGATATTAAATAAGGCAGGTTCACAAACTGAAATACCATTGGAACTGTCATTAGAACCAGCTAGCATTTTAATGACTAGGAGATCAGTTGAACTTTAATGCATGTATTACAAGAAATCTCCCATCAGCAGGTGTTCATCATTGCTTTGGAGGTATTTAAATTCTTTCAAAGTATTTTAGAACTTTTTTTGGGGGGGAGGGAATAAGGTGTACCAGAAATTGAACCCAGGGGCGCTTAATCACTGAGCCACATCCCTAGCCCTTTCTTATTTATTTATTTATTTATTTATTAATTTTTAGACAGGGTCTCACTAATTTCCTTAGGGCCTCGATAAATTGCTGTGGTAGTGTTGAACTTGCAGTGCCTCCTGAGCCACTCAGATTATAAGCATGCACACTGTGCTGGCTTTTTTAGAATGTTTTGATGGTATAGTAGAAACTTGATAGAGTAAAGTCTACTAAGATTAAAAATAGTTCACTGACAATCTTTTCTTTCTTTCCGTCAGTTCTTCAGTTGTTGTGAAGCATAAGACCTTTCAAAGCACTGTAGATATGGACAAAGAAGAAAGGAAGACTATCAACCAGGGTCAAGAAGATGAAATGGTAACCACCTTTCATGATTTACTTGTGAAATATAAAGAAGTAATCTCTTCCATTTATTATTCTAAGGAGTAGAAAAGTACAGTTATGAAACAAATCTAAATCAGTGA